GAAATGAAGAAAGGATATATTCCTCCTCTTGCTAACGGGAGTTGGTACAGATTGACTCAATATAGGTTGTGAAAGAAAAGTAGTCAATGTGAGAAATGAGGTGTACTTTGTGGTATGATGGTCATTATCATTTCTGTCGATTGGGTGTAGTGTGGCGGAAGTAGTGAATACCCTGGCGAATCCGATCATTCCTGGCTCTGGTGTCATCTATACCCAGTTGTTTTGCAGTCCCCATCAGCACGTTTTCCTATTTGCATCCATGCGGCTGGAGGTGTTGTTTTAAGTCTTAAATCTAAAACGAACTTGCAATACGCGCAAAGTGGTATTGTTATCTATTCTTATTGAGAGTCTGCAGTGTTTGGGGCCACGCTGCACATTAGCTGTCTGTCTGCCGCTAACAGCCCTTGGGTAATGATGAAAAGATTCACCGAGCAGAAGGGAAGAGAGAGTGATACACAAAGAGAGGGGGAGAGAGAGAGGGGAAGGAGGGGGGAGGTGGCAGGAGAAAAAAAAAATGAAGGGACAAATACAAATTAGCCCAGCAAGTGTGTGGCAGAGGATATGAGAAATGAATTGCCTAATTGGCACATTTGTTTCAATTAGGATGTGGTCATCAGTGTCAGCCTTGACGGAGGGGTTTCCAGGCGGGGCCCCACATCAGGGCTTCCTTCCTGTGATTTCAATACCCGGACCGCCCCTGAAGGTCACCTCCTCCAGCCCTGCACAGCAGCCAGATCCTCTTATCTACCTAAGTACACACACACATCTCATTCAGATGACATTTGCTGATGATTAGATGCTGAGAAATGTGGCGGTTGAGGGGCAATTAGAGGACAGAAGAGCAATGTAACGGGTGACACCGCAGCCATCATCAAGACTTATGAGGAGAGCGCTGATCAAGACCTTGCCAGCTGACGCATTTTTCCATGTGCTTGTGTGCCTCATCGCCCCACTCCTGGGTCTAATGGTCATTTGATGTCAAGGTGACGCAGTACAAATGGTGCACTTCAGTACAGGAGAGAAATCTGTCTGCTGAGTCATGCTTAGGTGTGACAATTTAGCATGATCTCCTCCCCTTCGGGCAAATCTCAGCCGCTTGTGGCGAAGCCGGTGTTGGTGGCGGAACTTTTTAATTGCAGAGTATCTCGTCAACGCAATTACATGGATTGAGCGCCTCTGTCAGGCGCACCCTGGGGACCAGGGGACGCCAACGGGATCCGCTGAGCAGCATATCACAAACCATACCGCCAAGCATGGAGCTAATCCGCCCAACGGATCCCCCCACCCGCAACCAATCAGCAGTACATGTAAAGA